TTATCGCACCTGGACTGGGCCCAACCGGGCCCAACCGTTCTAATTTGTTTTTAGAATCAGCACTTGCTCACCTCTGGTTCGCGAGCACAACTGGGATTGGCTGCATCTGCGGCCAAGCCATTCGGGGCGCTCGAAGCACGAGATAGCAGGAAGTTGATTTGTTCGTTTTACGTTTGTTGTTTTTTCCCTCTCAATATCTTTAATTTTCAAGAGGGCACTATCGTAAACGGCGCCTAACAGTTGCCAAAACGGACCATTTCAAATCGACAATTACAAAGGACTTTACACTTTTCACGAGGGAGTTTGAAGAAGAAAACAACATGCAAACTGTGTTTTGCCTGGGACCCCGCAAAGAAAGAACTATGCACGAAAACTCATAGTGAGTTAAAACGTTGCGGAAAAGTATCCACCGAATTCGCGAGGCCACGCGCCGTGCCGTACCAACGGCTCAAACCCGGGGAGCAGGGAAAAGGAGGAGGAAGGAGAAAGGAGGGAGAGGGGGGGGGGGCTTCCTCGGAAGTTACCCCCCGTTGACCGTACATTCCGGCCGCTGGCTGGCTCTGCTGGCTGTGCCGGCCGCGGTGCGGCGGTGGGGTCCTCGCGCCGGGGGCCGCTGGGGCCCCACCCGGCCGGGGGCGTCCCGTCCCGCCTGGGGGGGCCCGCCTGGCCCGCCTGGCCCGCCGCCGCCCGGCCGGGCTCGCTGGCTGTGCTGGCCCCGGTGGGCCCCGGCCGGGGCGCATTGATCCAGGCATTGCCAGGCATTGCCAGGGAGGCAGACGCAGCGCCCCCGGCCCCGCCCCGCCACTCGCAGGCCAGGCCCCACCAGCCCGACCAGCAGCAGCAGCAGCAGCCCTCACGACTGATCGTCTCTTCCCGATTCGGCGTTCCATATTCGCCGCGCGCTATCGCGGCCGCCCCAACCACGGAGAACAACACCATCGCCAGTTCCGGTTGTGGTGTCTGCTGCGTGCACCGTCCCCCCCGAAGTCCAAAAACCTTCCCGACGTGGCGTTGCCCGGGCCACGTTTTGGACCCCCCCCCCACTCTTTCACTCCTCCCACCCTGCAAGTCCATTTGTACGGGAGAACGCGTTCTGCTGCCTCGCCGCAATCCAGATCATTGGCGAGTGCGATAACCTACATTCTACCTTCTCACGCCTGGTGTCTCTCTGTCTTGCGGCCAAGTGGTAAGAGGGAGGGGGGAGGGGGCGGGGGAAGAGAAGTAAGAGGTAAGAAAACAAGACGCTGGGGCAACGCGCTGAAATGTGTAAACAACAACAACCCCAGCTCGGCGCCCCAGCGCGCGTACAACATATAGCACGAGTGTGCAACTTGGGGGAGTGCGTCTGGAGCCAGCGCCCCACTAACCAGCCACACCTCATCCGCCGCCCGGGCAAAGTTCTCCGAGGCACGATGCAGACGATGGTGATGACGCTGACCAGACCATCACGAGGGCGATGCTCGTGGTGATAGTGCGAGCGCAGCCAGCGAGTGCAGGTGTCCGGGCAACGCACGCACACACACACACGCACACACACACACACACGTGCAGCAGGGGTAACTCGACACCCTCCTCTTGCACCCCTGTAGCAGAGGCACCGAGAGCCGAGAGCGAGAGAGAGAGAGAGAGAGAGAGAGAGTCTTGGAGCACACGAAATTCAAAGGAGTGAGAGAGTGAATGCGGTCGTGGGAGGAAGACGAAAAGCATACTGTAGTGGGGCGAGAAAAATGAAAAGACAAACTCGATGGCAGGACGGCAACAGCCCCCCCGCAAGTGCATGTGAAGGGGGTGAGAGAGAAAGAGAGAGAAAGGGAGGAGGGGGGGGGGAGCCAGTCGATGCATCTCCAGAAATAAATGCCAGCAGCAGGCGCTGCGCCCAACCGAGCCCAAGCCGCGCTGCGGGGGGCTGGTGCTGGCTGGGCCCACATCCCACATGCACTGGAGTGGGTGAGGGAAGTAGTCCCTGTCGCAGCGCCAGGACCAGGCAGCACCACAGCTCGCAGCCCAGAGCAGGTCGCGGGCGAAGCGCTGTCGCGCCGAGGCCCGGGGGCGCAGGGCCCGCAGGGCCCGGGGGCGCTGCGCAGGCAGTGGTGGAGGGGCGCATCTGCCCGCCAGCTGCGGGGGCTCCACATGGTAACCGTGGCAACCGTGGCAACCACCGCGCCGCCACACTGCGACACACCGTCACAATTGTTGTCGTGATAACGCAATCGCGCCGAGGGAGACGACGACGTGCTCAACAATGAGCTCAAGAGGTATAATGGGTGTTCGATCCATCGGTCGGCTCGGATATAAACTTTCCGCTTATTAATTGCGTCACAATGAGGTATCTCGTAGGTGTCACAACGTTAGATGATGTGGGTGAGAGGCAGAGAGAGGGAATGCCCCCCCCCCCCACACACACACACACATTCAGCCGAACCGCAATCGCAAAACCTGTCATCCGGACATCCATCACTTGACCGGACGCGCGACTTCGCGAGGCAAAGAAAGAGGTGCATGGAGCGCGCGGCGCGGAGCGACAAATACGGACATGAGGATTGGATTGACATCACCATCGGCTCGGCTCGGCTCGGCTCGGCTCGGCCCGGCTCGGCCCGGCTCGGTTCGGCCCGTGCGCTGCACTCGCGAGGCGACGTCGCGTCCACCCATCAAACAGGTGGAGCCGCGAGGCGCGTGGTCAGGGGCGTGACCAGAGGGGGGGAGGGGGCTCCGCACTCGGATGTGGTGGAGGCGAGCGTCGCGGCGCTCTGCTTTCTTATTTCATTTCTCCCGCACCGCACCGCGGCTTTGCTTCGCGGGGCGTGGCGGGGCGTGG